CGGGGAGGAAGTGCGGACAGGCTGCTCTGATGCGCAAGGGCAAGAGCGTGCTGCCGGGTGGCACCAAGGGCCAGTCCCGCCTGTTCCATCGCTTATGAGGGGATGTTGTTTTGCTCCTGCCTGAGACCCTGGTGGACACAACCGCTGATGCAGGATGTCGCGGCCTCACACGGAGATTTGTTCCACCCCAGTCGGCATCGAATTTTGCTCTGGGACAATGTTATTGTTGCTCCGAAGAAAGAAGAATGAAAGACTGAAAAAGGAGAGGTTTAAGATGAAGGCGGGAGGGGCGATCACAGTTGAGAGAGCATCATGAGAGTGTCCTGGGGGCGGGACATAAATGCATCGTATGCGGACAATAATGGCATCCGCTGTCTGGCCAGAGGGTAGATGGATAACGAAAGACGGTGCAGGAAATCATGGCCTGGAGTGCGGAGAGCGGCTTTGGACAGTTCCTAGGCTGCTGCTCTGTTCAGAAACGACACGGCCGGACTTGCAGGGGAGGTTCTGAGGACAGGAGATGCGTGCGATCACGGCTTGGCTTTAGAAACGCAGACCTGCACTTTGGTGTGGAGGGTAGTCGTGGGAGGCACACAGGCCTGTTAGATTATGTCAACGGTCTACAGAAATATAAAGAATATCAGTGAGGGAGAGCCAGTGCACCTGCGCGTCCACACCCCACGCTGTGCAGGAGCGGGTACCGGGCACCTGCACGCACACCCTGCCCTGTGCAGGAGCGGGTACCGGGCACCTGCGCCCACACACCGCCTGGGCAGGAGCGGGTACCGGGCACCTGCGCCCACACCCCGCCTGGGCAGGAGCGGGTACCGGGCACCTGCGCGCACACCCCGCCCTGTGCAGGAGCGGGTACCGGGGCACCTGCGCCCACATCCTGCCTGGGCAGGAGCGGGTACCGGGACACTTGCGCCCACACCCCGCCCTGTGCAGGAGCGGGTACCGGGGCACCTGCGCCCACACCCCGTGCTGTGCAGGAGCAGGTACCAGGGCACCTGTGCCCACACCCCATGCTGTGCAGGAGCAGGTACCGGGGCACCTGCGCCCACACCCTGCCTGGGCAGGAGCGGGTACCGGGCACCTGCGCGCACACCCCGCCCTGTGCAGGAGCGGGTACCGGGCACCTGCGCAGTCAGTACCTTCCACGCTACTTCCTACCAATTATCTCCTTTACTGCTCTCTGGTGCCCTGGCCGCCTCGCTGTTTCTAAAACCCACCAAAATCTTTCCCTCTTTCTGTCAGACTTTAACCCAAATATTGCATGTCTGACTCACGTCTTTCACTTCTTAAATGTCACTGGATCAGAGAGACTTTCAGTTGGGTGAAAGCTGGGAGTTTGTGGCCTGCAGACCACACCCCCAGCAACGCCAGGGGAAGGTCCGGCGGAGGGAATGTTACCAGACGGAAGTGCTGGTGCCCGGGAGGGGAGAGGAGAGGAGGGGAGTGGTCAATCTGACCACGTCTTCAGAATAATTTCCCTCATTTGAAATTGTTGTTAAAAGACAATTTGAAATTTTAAAATAAAAATGATAATTATATGTTTGGGGGTTCGTGACATACATAGAAGCAAAATCTCCAACAATAGGAATAGGATTGCGGTAAGCATCCTCTGTTACATGAGACGTGGCGTCATCGTCATTTGAGGGACACAGTGACAAGCTCAGATGAGCACTGTGGTCCTCGGAGCAACCGCCCACGTGGGTGCAGAGAGGTAGAACTAAGAAGGCCATGCAGGAGACAGAGTGAAACGCTGAAAATTCTTGACCAACCTAAAGGACGGCGGGCGGGAGAGAACAGGCAGGGCGTAGGACAAACGGCGAACGGCAGAGCCCACAGATCGCGTCACTAATCGCGTTACTGTAAATCACCTGAACACCAGAGGCGGGTTCTCAGGATGGCTAAGAACACAGCAGGACGCCGAGATACGCTGTTTATGAGAAATGCTCTCGCAGGGACAAACAGGATGAGAGCAAATGGATGGAGAAACCTATTCCAGGCAAACGGTGACCTTGACACAGCCTCAGCCCGTTTTCCAGTGCTCAGCAACACCCGCTTCCCCTTCCCGGCGCGCGACCAGGCATTTCCCAGCGTGCCCTGTGCTCACTGGCTGCGGGACAGTCTGGCCAAGGCCGAGCGGGTGGAAGGGAGGCGCGTCACCACCAGCCCACAGAAGCACTCCCTCAACTGCTAGAGGCAGTTGAGACCCAAAATCACTGCGGCAGGAACACTGGCTGGCCAGGGCACTCACAGTGTTGCCTTACGAGAACGAGAAATAGACTTTCTGTGGGAGTGCACGTGCACGTGTGCATGTGCATGTGCATGCATGTGCATGTGCACGTGCGTGTGTGTGCACGCGTGTGTGCACGTGTGCCTATGTGTGTAAGCCACAGAGATTTCAGTTTATTCTACATTAATAATACACCGTACTTATATTTCCTTTGTAGCCCACTCTCTCGAGTTATAGGTTATGACATGATAATTACGAATTTGTTTGTCTACTTGTTTATTTTCTGTCTTCCCTCAATAGAACAGTTTCCAAGAGCGCGGGGACTTGCCTGTCTTGTTCCCCACTGTGTTACAGGACATAAAACCATGCCTGGCACGTAGTCGGTGCTTATTAAATATAAGCATCTTTTTCCTCCTACTCGTGAGGCCAGAACACACCAGAAGCCAAAGGCCTGTGTTGGTCCAGGGCCGCTTCCCCAGGACACCGACAGGGCTGGCGTTTGGAAGCTCCGGAGCAGAGGTGCAGCCCTGGGTGCAAGGAAGCCCATCACAGGATGTTAGTTTCTGATCATTGTCCCTGGATGGATCTTTTATCTACTATGTCGATGACCTCCTGCGGGGGTTGGGAGTGTCTCACTCCTGTGCTGGAGCCCTCACAGATGCGGCAGGCAGAGGGAGGTACCAGAGCCCCGGCTTCTGAGCCACCCACCTTGGGGGCGCAGACCCTGCTGGGTGCCCAGGGCAGGTGTGGAGCCCCGACAGAGGGAAGAGGGGATGGATGGGAGGCGGACGGGAGCTGTGTGGCCGCACGGTAGCCTCTTTCCTTCTCTGGGCCTCAGTTTCCCCACCCACAGCAGCTGGCCTGTGCCTGGTCCTCATGGTGCGGGCTCTCTTCCTCTGCGGTGTTTTATTTGCTTAGTTTTGTTTAATTTCTTGCACAGAGATGATCACTCAGTGTGTTGTTACCTTGTTGATTAAAAAGATCAATTCAAATGTAATTTGTCCGTTTATTAAAATTACAACTTCAAAAGTTCGGTGCTTCCGTAAGCCTTTAAATTTGGCTTAGAAACCTTATTCTATCTGCAACAGGCACATTTTAACGACTTCCTTTAAGGGGCCTTGGTCCGTTCACTGACTTAGTTAATTTAACGGCTTTAAACATTTTAATTGCATTTCCAAAATTAATGTATTTTAAATTTATGTTTTAGTATTTCAGCTGTCTACCTTTAATAAAATCTTCTGAATATAAGCTAATTTCTAGAAATCTAATAATTTAAACATATGAATGGGATGAACTTAGGGAAAATCTCTTAAATGTTCCCAAACTATACATCCACACAGCACGATTTCCATGTAAAATCACGAGCTCGTTCGATGACTCAACTTCACATTTTCATTTGGATTATCAGGTTGTCGCTATGATGGGCCAAACACTCTCAAGCATTACCAATTCTCCAGATACCGAGCTGACACGGATTTCTTCGTGCTGAAATACTCATACTATGAATTGCAATCTCTCAGACCCGGCCATCTTTAGGCAGACACGGTTATCTGCTCAGGAGGGCAGTCACCACGCAGGCAGCCCAGGTGACCGAGGACCTGGGAATGTGGGCAGGCTGCCGTGGACGTCCAGTGAACGCTCCGACGGCTCACTGCCTCTGTGTTTGTCCTGCCCGCGATGCCAGGACACAGAGAGAAGGTGGCAGGAGGGAGCCCACACCTCTGGGTTCTGTTTCTGCACGTCCCCGGGAGCCTGCCTCTCCCCACCCCGTTCTGCCTGTACGGGGTCTGGCATTTCCTTGGCTCTTGAAAGTCAAAGCAAAGGTCTTTGAACGGCTTCACATTCCCAGGCCCACACTACTCCGGAGACGTGGAACTGATATGCCGTGGCACCTGACTCTCAACGTGGCTTTGTCTGACTTGGGTCACCGATTCCAATCCTTTGGACACCTGTGCAGGGGCTGTTGGTGGGTGGGAGTTGGGGGCACACTGGCCACCTCTGTCTCTAATGGGACTAAACCCAAGGCGAGCCTTTGCTTGAGGTTTGAGCTCTTCTCTGAGCCGTGTGGCAAAGCGTCCAAACCTGGCCCGATCCAGCCTGTCCTCCCCACAGGGCGGGTGTCCAGTGCCCCTGGGAGCAATTGCGGCTCAGAAGCTACCGCAGTCTAATTCACAGTCCTGCGTCTGCAGCCCCGCCAGGCTGCTGCCTGGTCCACGACCCAGGCTGTCACCCCCTCTGCCAGGCTCCCAGCCTGGCCGTGCCACTTCCCACCTGCTGCAGGTCTGCTGCAGTTGGAGCCAAGCCCCTGGGCCATCCCACCGCAGTGGACGTTCCTCCCCTTCCACGGACCTGAAGCCCATGACCTGCAAGAGAATCAATCGATTAAGAGCTGGATCCGCAAATACTCCCTTCCTTCTGCCTCCTCAGGCAGTGCTCCTGGCAGAGCAGTGCCGAGGAGCTGGGCCTGGGCTTTCTCTAAAGACATACACAGGTCCTCCCGGCCCTGGGGAGTCCCCTTGCTGGGCAGAGCATGTCCCTGCTGGGAAGTGAGGCCCATTGAGCAGGAAGCGTGTGGGGCCTGTGGAAGAACGGGCACTGGGTCACCACCTCCAGTTGGTGCCAGCAGGCCAGCAGAGGAAGTGTCCACCCCCACCGGGGATGGGAAACAGAGCCAGAGGTTACAGCAGGTGGCCGCAGCCCCATAAAAGCCAGGGAGCTCCTTCCCTGGCAGAGACCAGAGTGATAGAGCTGAGCCACCATGGCCACGCCGGTCCTCCTGGTCATCCCCTTCCTGTGCACCACGGCGCTGACTGCCGACACCTGTCCAGGTGAGTCGAACCCCAGGTGAGCAGAGGGATCGTGTCCCCGGAAGCTGACGGCCGCTTACTGACCGCTGCATGGCAGGCCTAGCGGGAAGTCCTTTGCCAACATTCTGCCCTTATTGCCTCAACAGCAGCTTTTAAGGGCCACTTTTAAAAAGAGGAGACGGAAGCCCAAAGAAACAAATGTAGCCTCACAGGGCTTGGGAGCAGGACGCTGGAGCTAGCCCGGCCAGGTCCAAACCAGGTGCACGGCCTGCAGGACCTGGCCGGAGCTCCAACAGCAGGGCCACCGGGGCCTCAACCTCGCCAGAGAGGTCACGAGAGCCCCGGGGCACGGGCGGGGCAAGGACGTGGGGTGTGTGCAGGGTGCTGGCCTGGGGCAGGCCCTGGTCACATTTCTGGCTGTGATGACCATCTCTCGGAGGCCTCCCAGCCCGGCACGGCCAGCAGAGTCAGGCCCAGCGCAGCCGGTCATTCAGTCTGCGATCTGCCTGGCTCTGGGGACAGGGAGCTCAACTGTGGCCCTGCATGGCACAGTGTGGGTGACGTGGCCTGCACGGGCTCCTGGGGGCCCTCAAGTGTCCCGCCCAGCAGCCCCTCCCCTGGGTCAGCCCCCAGGAGGCTCTGTCTCACCTGCTTCCTGGCCACACCCAGCACGATGCTCTGACAGCACAGGTGAGCACTTGCACAGGTCCTAGCGGGCACCACGGTCCCTAACGTGTTCCTGGTGGCCCAGGGCAAATGACGGCTGCCATGTCACTGCACAGAAAGGCCTAGAACGGCAGCCTCTCTGCTGCTTATGTTCTGGTAAGTTCATTTTCTTCACTAAATGTCTCTTTTTCTCTAATTGTCTAAAATTATTAAGAACTCATTTTAATGAACAAAACTAAGGAAATAGAAAAAAAAGTCTATATTTGCTCTGAATGGTGACCAAGGGGTGAGGACATATCAAAGAACTGCATAAAATGTTGTAGCTGCCGCACCTGCCGGGGACCCCAGGCCTTAATTCCATATTTCTGTATCGTCCCTCAGGAGGACGTGTAAATTTTGTCATCCACAAAATTTAAAATGTAGTTTTCAAACAAGGAAACAATCTCTGTCGGGTCCCAGTAGTGCCATAGCTCGCTCTGCGTCCTTGGAGCAGACACGTCCTCTCTCCAGGTGACCTAGAAGACCCCTTGGCAGCCCAGAAACTCTACGATCACGTGCCAAGGTCGGGCAGTGAAAACACTAACGCAAACCCAAATTCCCTGAGTTTCTTAGAAAGATTTATTGTCATTATTTATTGAAACTACCTTCTGTTAATGACGCTCTTCCTAAAGGTCTTGAATTCTACAAGATTTTTGAAATTTTTGTTCTGTGATCGAGTCCTTGCCATAGCCCTGTTATAACCCCCACGTGGTAGCTCAGAGCACAGAGCGGGTAGGTGACTTGCCCAGCACACACAGCGCAGAGGAGGGGCTTACCCTGAGGCAGGGTGGTCTCCGAGGCCAGGGCTCCGCCCTGCATCACTTCCCTGCCTGACCAGTGCCCCCAGGGGGAGGACAGACCAAGTGGGAAAACCGCCCTCCCAGGCCTACCCTCCAGCTGAGGCAGGTGGCTCTGGCTGCAGCCACATGCAGTCCAGACCCGATGTCACCAAGGGGGCAGGTGTCCTCGGTTTGGGTGGCATCAGGCCCTGGGCGATGGCACTGACCGGGCACGTGTGTTTCTGTGCAGAGGTGAAGCTGCTGGGTGTGGAGGGCTCCGACAAGCTCACCATCCTCCGAGGCTGCCCAGGGCTGCCCGGAGCCCCAGGGCCCAAGGGGGAGGCGGGCGCCCGCGGAGAGAGAGGTAGGTGCCTGCCCGGGTGGGTGGGCTGCAATGGGGGTGGGCTGGTGTCTCCTGCTCTTCTGGACTTAGATGCCGAGGTGGGCAACGCCCCACTGGGATCGGGAGCTGTGGTCTTGGCCCAGCTCACAGCGCCAACCCCGGGGTCCAACGGGGGTTCTGGACGTGCCTCGGGCGTGAGCTGCTGCTGTAGCTGGTTCCGGAGCTCGCATCTGGGCGTGTTTCTGTGGGGCCGTCGCCGAGGCCTTGACTCAATGGCAGCTTCATGTGACCACGGGCGCGACTCCCGGAGTGTGTGCTCCTCCCTAGTCTCACCGAAACGTGGGTGGCCCCGTCTTCTCCACCCACCTCAGACGAGGACACTGAGTCCCAGAGGGGCCAGGACCTGCGGGGCTCACACACCAGTAAGGAGGGGAGCTGGCACTTGCCCGGGCCAGCTTCAGGCACGGCCAGCACCTCCTGCCCAACGAGAGCAGGGCGGGCGCCTGCCCAGGGACAGGGACCCGGACTCAGGAGCAACACAGCGTGACGCCCGGGTTGTACCAAAGACCAAACGGGAGCTGGGGGACACCCCGCCCTGAGCCCCAAACCAGGTGCAGGCCCGGCCATCAGCACCTGCCACTGTGCAGACTCCGTCACCCCCTGTGGCGCCGCCGGGCTGTGTCCGGGCCCCAGATCTGAGGGTCACTGGGACCAGAGTGGGCGCAGGGCTCAGGACCCTGCTTCCTGCGGTGAAGGTTTCCCAGGAGAACAGTTTAGGTCTCATTTTCCCAGTGACGTGGGTTTGCATTTCGCAGGAGAACGAGGTCCCCCGGGAGCCCCTGGGAAGGCAGGACCACCCGGGCCCAAAGGTAAGGAGGGGACAGAGGGTGGGAGGCCTGAGCAGGACGCTCGGGCCTGTGTGTGAAGGAGGGAGGGAGAGAGAGGGTCAGAGAGGGACAGGGAGGAACCCGTGGTGTCAAGGCCTGTGTCCCCTTCCCCTGCATCGGGATCCTGACATCCTAAAGCCTTGGTGCGCCAGCAGGGCCACAAGCCTGTGTGTGGCGACCAGGCCAAGAGGCTGGGACTGTGCCCGTCCGGCTGCCGCCTTCCCACGGCCCCCCCAGAGCAGCTCTGCTGTGCGGAACCAGAGCGGGCGAGGTCCCCGGGCTGAGGTGACACTCTGGGGACTCTCTCATCCTCCCTCCTCTCTCTGCAGGAGACTGCGGGGAGAAGGGGCCGCGAGGGGAGAAAGGTGAGCGGCTGCCGCCTGGGCTGCCTCTGCAGGCCGCGTCCCGGGAGGGCTCGGACGCCCAGGCTGCCCCGCACCCCGGGAGAGTTCTCAGCCCCAGGTCCCTGTCGCTCTGGGCTGTGCAGGGAGGGCCACGCACTCGGTCCTCAGAGTCCGTGGGGCTCAAGCATGGCATCTGCCAGCTGTCGCCCCAGTGATGGGCGAGGTCACACGATTAGGACATTTAGATGTGGACATTTTACCTCTTTAAGGTTTGTCTAATTTATGTGCGTTTATTTAAAAACTTGTAAAAATCAAAAAGCACAAGACTCCTCTGTCTACAATAAAGAGGACAGGACTGGGGCACAGGCCCGAGTACCGCAGGCCGCCAGCAGGTTCCCCACAGTGACCTGACTCTAAGGCGGAGACGCGTCTGAGCTGGAATGACCGGGACTGGGAAGAGCCGGCCCCGCTGTGACCAGGGTGGGAGGCCCAGCGTGGGGCTGGCGGCTACCGCGGGACGGGCGCTGCCACCTCGGCGCCCAGGAGAGAAGCGGGACGTGGCCGGGCTGTGCTCTCCAGTGAGGCAGAGCCCAGCGGCCCTAATTGGAGCTGGAGGGTGACCGTCCTGGCAGCACCTGGGTCACTGCCGTGTCCCTGCTCCCCCCGTGTCCAGGATCGGTCGGGGCTGCTGGGGACCAGGGCTCTGAGCTCGCCTCGTGACGAGTGTCTCCTCTCTCCCCACGAACAGGGGACGCTGGGCAGTCTCAGTCCTGTGCCACAGGTGGGTGATCAGGCCCCGCCCCTCCCTGACCTGGCCCCTCCCCGGGCCCCGCGCCCAGCCCCTTGCTGCTGAGCCCAGGCAGAGCTCTGACTCTTGCTGGCTCCCTGGGTCACTGGGCCGCTGGCAGCTGCGGCCTGGAGAACCAGCGCACCCATGGCGCTTTCCTTACGTCACGTCGTCTACCCCAACGGCCAGGGGCCCAGACACTAAGGAGGGGCCGTGCTGGGCGCTGAGAGGTCAGGGGACTGGATTGGCCGTGACAGCTGGGGGCTGGGGACGGCGTCTCCGTCCTGGCCTCGGCGTCCACCGCCCTGCAGACCCCACTCCGCCTGCTTCTCCCTCCTGGGCCCGCCTCCCCTGCCCTGCCCTGCCCAGGCTCCAGGGCCTGCGTCCATCCGGTTCCCTCCCAGGCCCGCGGACCTGCCAGGAGCTGCTCGGCCAGGGCCACCTCCTGAGCGGCTGGCACACCGTCTACCTGCCCGACTGCAGGCCCCTGGCCGTGCTCTGCGACATGGACACGGACGGAGGGGGCTGGACCGTGAGTGTGCGCTGAGGGTCCCCGGGCAGAGGGGGCAGCCTGGGAGTCCTGGAGACCGGGCTCCATGCCTGGCGGGAGGAATTCTCTATTGCCCTCGGAGTCTCAGGGAGACCCCCCTTCCCGGAGGATGAGGAGAATCAGAAATGAGGAGGAGGTGACCCGGGGGTAAAAGTCCAGGCTGCAGGGTGAGGCTCGGAGGGGGGCCGCTCCTGCTGTGTGGCGTTGGCCTTGTTGCCTGCCCTCTCTGAGCCTCCATTCCCTGCTTCCTCACGTGGGGTCTGAGATGAGACCGGATGGGTGTGCTTGTGGCACCGGCCCGCAGTGCTCTGTGAACTCTCAATTCCTGCCCCTGGGGAGGCCGGGGCCCCCTGTGCTGGGGTCGTCAGCCTGGCCTCCCGTGTCCCGTCCCGGCTTCTGCGCAGGTTTTCCAGCGGAGGGTGGATGGCTCCGTGGACTTCTATCGGGACTGGGCCTCGTACAAGCAGGGCTTCGGCAGTCAGCTGGGGGAGTTCTGGCTGGGGAACGACAACATCCACAGCCTGACCGCCCAGGGTAGGCAGGGCCGGGGTCGGCGGGCCTGGGCCTGGGTGGAGCTGCCCCACCCCTTAGAGGGACGGCCTGGAACATAGGACCCGTCCTCTGGACCTGCAGGGCTCAGACTCTGAGCACACAGGGTCCAACTGTGATGTCCTAGGACAGGCAATCCCTGCTGCGGTCCCTGAGCGCTGGGGTCAGAGGGCGTTCGAGCTTTGGGGTGAAGGCCTCTGCCAGGCTGGGTGCCACCTGCATCCTAGAAGCTGAGAGTGGGAGGGGACGTCGTGGCCTCTGGGGCTTGGCCAATGTCCAGCTCCTTAGTCTCCTCCCACTCTCCTCCTCCTGAAGCTGCCATCTCAGGAGCAGAGACCCTCCGCTCTGGCCGGTCCTCGCACCCTTCCACTGGGCCAGCACCAGGGGGAATGAGAACAGCGTCTGTGTCCTCCGCCCACCACCCGAGTGTCAGATTGTTCTTGACGCTGGGGAACCTTGTCCCTCCCTCCCCAGTGGCCCGTTACTCGGGCACCGGGACCCTTCCAGATAAAGGAAGGACTAGATCATTTCCCTGTTTTGGGCTACTGTTGACTTCACAACCCATTACAGTGAAACAGTGGTTTTGAAGCAATGCTTTGTCCCTCAGATAAATGTGAGTGGAGGAATTTGGGGTGCAGAAGATAGTCCAAAGGAAAGGAGGTCTCCACAGTCCCTCGTATGACAAAGGCCTTTGTAATGAACTTGAGGAAATTCCCTTTGGATGCCAACCTCAGACACCCCCAAAAACTTATGCAAATTCCCACCTCTTGTGCCTGGAAGCAGAGGGACCCTTCTGCTGGGACCCTGAAACCTTCTCCAACAGGAACCAGCGAGCTCCGCGTGGACCTTGTGGACTTCGAGGGCACGCGCCACTTTGCCAAGTACAGCTCGTTTAAGGTGGAGGGCGAGGAAGAGAAGTACAAGCTGGTCCTAGGCGCCTTCATCGAGGGCAGCGCGGGTGCGTGTCTGCGCTGGGCAGTGGCCCGCGCGTCAGAGTGGGGTCTGGGAAGCAGAGAAACCCGCTTAGCATCCTGGCTCTGCCTCTGCCGTGTGACGTTGTGTGGTGACTTAACTTCTCTAAACCAGTTTCTTCATCCATAGGTTAAGATAATTTACCCACGGTTAATTGTACTTATGAAGATTATGAAATACATTTAGTAAAAGTCCAGTAAATGGCGGCTACTATTAATCGCTCCCAGTACGGATGGATGCTGGGAAAAGATGACACTTAAGAGCGTTTCTGTAGGGACTGAATTCCCACTCTATGCCACACGCAGCTCTCCTTGGAGGACAGCCTCCTCTCTAAGCGAGAGAATGCCTGTTTGCTAGCAGAGCAGAGCAGACAAGGGGGCGGCAAGGCTACTGCAGCAGCAGAGCAAGTGTTCCCTGAGTGGTGTGCCTCGGAGTTGTGCAGCGCACAACGTGGGCACCTGGATATGGCAGCTCTGTGCTAGACCCAGGACCCAGGCTTCCTAGTACTATGTGTAAAATTCTGCATTTTTCTTCTGAGCAGGTGATTCTCTGACATACCACAACAACTACCCCTTCTCCACCAAAGACCAAGACAACGACATTGCTGGTGGAAATTGTGCTGTGAAGTACCACGGAGCCTGGTGGCATGTCTCTTGTCACTGGTCAAACCTAAATGGTCTCTACCTTGGGGGGTCTCACGGGAGCTTTGCGAATGGCATCACCTGGAAGTCGGGGAAAGGGTACAACTACAGCTACAAGGTGTCGGAGATGAAGGTGCGGCTCACTAGCTTGGGGCTCTGATCAGGAGGTCCCCACGCATGCTGGCAGGAGGGGGAATATCCCCGAGCCTTCAAAAGGAAGGAAACATGGGGATCTTGGCCACTGTCCTGGTGGGAGGCAAGGAGCCTCAACCCGTTACTGTGGGCTGTGACCCACAGAGCTCTGGCTGAGGGCCACTGGCACGCCAGACCTCACAGCAACACGTCACCAATAAAGACGACTGCTTGCCTCACAGACGAACACAGTACACCTTTGTCATTGCGTTGCCCCGTCACTGGTCACGCCCCCATGGCTGTTCAAGTGCTGCTGCTGTCCTGGGGCTGGCACTGCGGTGGCCGAGATGCCCTCAGGGCTGAGTCAGTCTCTGACTGACAAGACAGGCATGAACAAAGCAGGACACGCGGTGCCTGTTTGCAAATAAAATTTTATTGCACACGGCTGTGCCACGGCTTCCACGTCGTCCGTGGCTGGTTTCCATTTTCCCACGTAGCTTCCAAGCGACGGGCAAAGCAGAGTAGTCCGAACCGAGACCGTGTGACCTGCAACGCCTACAGTTCGCGTTAGTCGGCCCTTCACGGAAATCTGCCGGCCCTGCACTCAGAGGGGACGGCGCTGTCCCTAGCCTCCGTGCCCAGCTGTACCCCTGACCTGTAGTGCCCAGGCTTCCTGCCACTTGCCCTCCTGGGTCCCCTCACTCATCAAAAATAAAACAAGGACGAAATGAGGCAGTCGGGCACTGCCGCTCCGAGCCCTCCAGGGGAGGGACGGCCTTCCTTCCTCAGAGCTTCCTCTTGGAAGTGGCCGGAGGGCTGTGCCCACAAAGCTGTCATTGCGCAAGCACTGCCAACACCTCCGTTGCTGCCGGTCGTCCAGGCAGGTCCCTCTGGGGCCAGGTGCCTTGGGCATAGCAGCCTCCCGGCCTCAGGCTGTTTCCCCTGGCGAGGGCCACCCGGGGCAGGAATCCCACTGGGTCCCATGTGCTGTTTAGCTAAGACGACATTTCTCAACCTGTGACCCGTGGAGACCCTTGAGCCTCTAGCGAAGCACTCAGAGGGGCCATGGCTGTGTCAACACCTGCAGGGGGCCGGCGTGAGTCTCGGCTCCTGCCCGCAGGTGCGGGCGGACGTGCACACGGAACAGGCCCCCGGTGTGCACTGCGCCTTTCCTGAGCTCCACTGTCTGCAAGGCAGCCCGGCCTGCGTGGCTGGGACCGCTGCAGGAGGGGCCGCAAATGCCCCTGGCTGGGAGGCTTCCCAGTGGGGTGGATTTGCCCCAGGCGTGGGAGGCTGGACCGGCTCTGACTCCAGTGAGCTGCGTATCCACTCCTGGCCTTCCCTGGGGACAGCCCCCCGCTAGGCGGGGGTCATCCCTCCCAGGGGCATCCTGGCCTGAAGGAGTTAACATGGAGGTGGCACCTGGCAAACCTCCCAGCCCGCCCCCAGCCATGGGACACCAGATGTCAGCTTCCCCGAGTTCTGCTGGCTTCAGCTCTGCGTGGGAGACAGCGGATCCCGCCACATGCTCCCCGAGGCAGGGTGGGCCCCCCGAGCCCGTGGCTCTGACTCAGCTGCCTGGAGTCCTGCCGGCCTGGCCCTTGTGACAGGCACAGGGATCCCTGGGCTGGCTGGGGGCTGGGACTCTTGGCCACCAGGGCCAAGTCTTGGCCTGGGAATGGGGAGGAGGGGAGGGTGTCCAGGAGTTCCCAGCCCTATCCTCCACCGTGGGGGGGCCCCTGGATTTTGTTTTCTGATGTGCTTTTTACATATTTTAGTTTTTGAGCCCCACAGAAGCACCAGGAGTGGGCAGTCCTGGTGCGATGCCTGCTGTCAGCACCCTCCTCTAATTTATTCGGAACATGTGCTCAGAAGCAGCAGGCGGTGGTTCCAGAGTTAGCACCGAGAGTCGGTTTTACGGCTCTTCTGTGGACTCGCACAGGCCGGCCACGTGGTGTAGCTTTTGGGGCCCGGGGTCTCTGGGGTGAGGGACCGCACCCTGGCCTGAGGGCCCCTGTGTCCTCTCTGGCTCTGCAGGCTGGTGGGTGGCCCGCCCCTGACACCGAGGGGGCTCGCCATCCGGGTTACATGGTCGTCCTGTCCAAGGGGTGGTGGGAAGCAGAGAGGGGTGGGGTTTCCTCACCTGCCACCGCGAACCGAGGCCACGTCCAGTTCTTCATTCTTTCCCTCTCTCTGGCTCCAGGGTCCCCTCCCTCTAGGACCGTGGGAACTGTGGAGGGTGAACATGGGCTCCTGCCTGGGCAGGGGCCAGGTGCTGAGGGGAGGGTGTGGGTCGCTGGCAGGTGCGCCATGCCAGGCAGGTGGGCCGATCGCCCTGCGTCCTACAGGAAACGCCACGAGAGCGCTGGGAAGCGGTCCTGAGAGCCCACAGAGGCCTCCCTGACGCGTAATAGCGTGCCCGTCTCCAAACTGTACAACGTGAGTAGTTTTCACAGATGCGCCTGGGAAACCGTCACCACAACCAAGACAGTCAACTTATCTGTCAAGCCTGGAAGTTTCCGCAGGCCCCTTGGCAGCCCAGCCTCCCAGCCCGCCCCACCCTCTGTCCCCAGGCAAAATCTGATCTCTCCGCCACTACAGATTAGCCGTTTTTTTCTAAGAGTTTATCTAAATAAAAGCACGTACTGTGTACGCTCTGTCGTGTAGCCTCTCCCTCGGTGGACCTGCGTCACAGCGCGCGGCCGCTAGCTCCTTCCGCTGCGCTGCCGCGTGACGCTCCATGCCGGACAGACCGCGGTTATTCATCCAGTCGCTTGCTGTGGACATTCAGGTCCCTTCCAGCTTGGGGCCCTGACACGTCATACTGGGACCATTCTGCACAAGTCTGCATGCGGAGGTATGTTTTCCCTTCTCCCGGGAGCACGTGCAGGAGTGGAGACGACCGGATCCTACGGGAGGCGCGTGTCCAATTGTTCATGGAGTCGCAAAGCGGTTTCCTGCCGTGGCTGCGCCGTCCCCTCCGGCAGTGCCAGAGAGACCTGGATCCTCCTCACCCTCCTCACCGCTGGGAACGGTGGGTCCTTTCGGCCATTTTCACAGGGGCGGTGAAGTCTCACAGCGGAGTCGTTTGCGTTTTCCTCGTGAGTGACGACGTGAGCATCTTTCCACGTGCTTATTGCCCTCCGTGCGCCGTCTTCAGAGAAGCATCTTTTCAGATCGTGTACCTACTTTTTAAAAATTAGATGATTTGCTTTCTTTTTACCGAGTGTCGAGAGTTCTTTCTACGTTCTGAACATGAGCCCTTTATCAACACGTAGGGTGTATTGGTTTTCTATCGCCGCCGTAATAAATTGCCACAAAGTGAGAGGCAGAAACCAACGCCAATCAATTATTTTGCACTGAGCTGCTCACAGCCTGGCCCGATCCCCTCCCCTCGAGTGTAGACAGGCCCATGGCTGGCTTCTAACCACAGAGTACGGAGAACAGGTCTCGGGGTATGCGATTGTGTGCACACGATTACTTCGCACAAGACAGCGGTTCTTCTCTTGCCGGTCTTGCCGGAGTCTCCCTCTCCCTTGCCGGCTTGGAGGAAGGAAGTGGCCACGCTGGGGAAGCCCACAGGACGGGAACTGCAGGCAGCCTTATGAACTAAGGGCAAGCTCCAGCCACCGACCTGCAAGAAAAGAATTCCTCACTCCTACAACCGCAAGGGATTGGATTCTGCCAATGAACTGGGTGAGCTGAAAGACAGATCACTCCCCAGTTGGACCTGCGATGCGACCACAGCCCCGGCGGACGCCTTGAGACCCTCGGCCAGGGTCTCAGTTAAACTGTGTGTGGACGCCTGACCCACAACTATGAGATAATGAAAGTGATAACAAAAGACAACAAGATGTGGTAGCTTGTTACACGACGATAGACCGTTGCTCTCTATTCCTTACTTGCTGAGAGCCTGTCAAAAAAATCTAGAATGGATGGAGATTATCAAATATGTTTCTGGGGCTTTTTTTTTTGTTTTTGAGATGATTATATGGTTTTCCTTTGTTAGTTTACTAAGATGAAGAATGACATTGATTTTCAAATGGTAAACAAACCTTCCATCCCGGGCTAAACCTCACTTGCGCATGATAGATTCTTTTAATATGTTGCTGGGTTCGATTTGCTAAGGTTTTGCCTAGAATTGTCGTATCCGTATTCGTGGGGGATATTGGTCTATAGTTCTTTTTTTCTTGCAATGATTTTTCTCTAGTTTTGCTGTTGGGGGAATGCTGGTCTCAGCATGAGTGGGGAAGTAGTTCTATCTTTTTGGTTTTCAGGAAGAGTATGGGAAGAATTGCTATTACTGTATCTCTTCCTTAGATGCTCGGTAGACTTCACCAGTGAAGACGCTGGGCCTGGGGGTTGTTTGTGGACTATTCTGTTTCGTTGGTTTTATGTCTGCTTCTACATCAGTACCACATTATCTTGATGAAGTTTCTTTGTAATAAATATAAAGCCTTAATGACAATGTCAGTTTATTTTCTACATCTAAGGTTGCTCAGGTTGTGCACTGCCTGAGTGACTTCGGTGGTTCAAGGAAATTGTTCATTTCTGTTGTCGAATGTATCGGCATAAAATTGCTCAGAATATCCCCTTCTATTTCTTTTAATATCTGCAGATTATGTAGGGATATCGTCTCTCTCTTCCTGGTTGTGATATTTTATGTTTTTCTCTCTCTCTCTCTCTCATTTTTTCTCAGTCTGGCTAGAGGTTTACAAATTTTATTGATCTCAGAGAATTAGCTTTTGGTTATATTGATTTTCTCCATCTGTTTTCTGTTCTTTTTCATTATTATTCACTCTCTTTGCCTCACTTTGGATTTAAATTGCTTTTCGTTCTCTGCCTTCTCAAGATGGGGGCTGAGGGATCGATCCGGGACCTTCTTCCTCCGACACGGCACGGGGCTGCGATTTCCTCCTGGGCGCCGCCCACAAATCCTGATATCTCTCATTTTTGGTTCTATTCAATTCAAAATTCTTCCTAACTTTTCCTTTGACCCCTTCTGTGTACCATGTGTTATTTAGAAGAATGTTATTTAATATCCAGATATTGGGGATTTTGTACAGACTTTCTAGAATTTTTTCTTTTTTTTTTAAATTTCTATAATAATTAATTCCATGGTGGTGCGAGAATGCACTTTGTCTGGCTTGACTGTGTTGAAAGTTGTTATTTTAGTGGTTGCTTTAGAACTGGTAGTAAACACCTTCGCCTCAGCACGGTGTACCGTGTAGCCACGTGAAACCACTTCCCATGTGCTCCGAGAGCCTCGCGGCCTGTCCTCTCTCTCCTCCCGGCCTCTGCACCATGGCCAGGCTGTTCCGCACAGGTTAGACACCCTGCAAGGCGGTACGAGGGAAAGAAGAGCTTAGGGAAGAATTCAGCGGTTTGCAAGCAGGAATAAAATGGAATGAAGACTCTAGGAATTGGAGGGCTGGCAGGGCTGGAGAACGCCTGAACGTTTATAGACCCCGAACAGTAAGAGATGAGATTTTTAAAGCTCTTGAGTAACAAAGACCAGCGAAATATATTTTTGAACAAAATGATTCAGCCTCGTAGCAAAGCTCCTTCCTGCCCGGCTGTAACTTCAAGGCAGACTGTCCTAAGACGGCGGACACGGGGAGGCGCAGGGACAATTCGCGACGAAACACATCCACGTGGAGACACGTCTTGGGAAGAGAAGACACGGAGCCACGCAGCGAGGGGACCCGGCTCCTCGCGTCCCTGTGGAGCAGCTCTCCCTCCGCGCCCCTGCTAGACCGCGGCAAGACCCGGACTTTCACTGTACTGGGCCCCGAGACGCTGCGGCTGTTTTTTCCAACAGCTGCTGTTCCTTAACTTTGCAGGGAGGTGGCCAGGCGAGGGCAGGGGTGCAGGAGAGAAAAGAAGAAACCTACTTTCTCCTGCCGGTTCTAAAGCGCACTCCGGGCTCCGTGCCAGCCTCGCCTCCCCAGTTCTGTGGCCGCACTTGGGCTACCCAGTTGGTTGTCACTCTGTCTAATGTCACTGTGACTAATCAGCCTGACGGGTGGGGGCGGCCAGTTATCTGATGCCTGGAGCTTCATGGGAGGCCGGGAACCCCACATGGCCACCCTGAGATGTGGCACAAGTCCCGTCAGGAAGCAGGGCTGGGAACAATCTGGAACAGTCCATCTGTCCCAGGTCAGCAGACAGGGCCACCCGGAGTCTAGCGCCTTCCCAGACAGGAGAGTGTTCTCGACTTTAACTGGGTCGAGATATAAATCCTTGAACCTCAGACCTGGAAGACAGGGTGCGGCTGCCGTGGTCCATCCTCTCACCCAGAGCCAGAGTCGCTGCCTCCGCAGCTCCGGACAGCCCCGCAGGCGCAGGAGGCTCACTGCCATCCTGGACGGCCGCCAGCCCAGCTGGCCCGGACTGTCGCTGACATCGGAGGGTCTTCCTCTTGTCAAATCCAGCTCTGCTTCTCCGGAAGAGCCGACTTTCGAGTGGGCCAGGTGAACTGCCAGGCAGTAATTCCCAGCTCGTGCACCAGTATTGCCAGAAAGGGCAGAATGCCCTTCTGAGAAAACAAAGAACAACCCCCCAAACCCCAGACCGTCACACGTAGGCACGCCTGGCTCTGGGTGCAGCACCTCCGTAGCTAAGTGGGCGTCTCCCGAACCCGAGAAGCTCAGGACTGCGAATGGCCAGGTGTGGTCCCTGCCTGTCCCTGCCTGTCCCTGCCAACCACCTGCTGCACACTCCCGCTTCTCCGGGCCGTGCGAGTGTGGATGCTAACGGAAACCTATTTGCGTCAATTTGCGCAGCTCTCTTTTCGCTTCCAGGACTGCTGTCTTCATTCCTGAGAGTTTTGCTCTGATGAGCCAGAGGGTCTCTGGCTTTTGTTTGCTTGCGCTGAGATCATCAAGCCGCCCACCCGGCTCTCTGAAACTTGCACCTTAGTGGTCCCCACGCTGACTGTCCATCAGAGCCGCCTGGAATACTCTTCAGAGGCCCCATCCCAGATCTTTGAAACCCAGATCTCAGCGGGGGATACCGGGAGCCCTTCCTGTCCACTCGGACGATGACCCGTGGCAAGAACAGACGTGGCAGCACATCACGTGGGCAGAGCTAACAGCTGAGCCTGCCCCACCCGTGCCCAGTCTTCTCCGGGCTGCATGCCCCCAGGACCCCAGCCACCCCTCAGAACACAAGGCGAGGGTGGTCTGAACCAGAAGTAAATTCAAATATTACAAAAACCCTCTGAATAAGGATCGTAGGGTTGGAGACAAATGTATGGTGAGGATGTGTGACAACAAGGGCACGAAAGGCGGGAAGGGGTTCAATGTTGTTAAAGGTGTTTAAAGGTCTTTGTTGGTAAAGCGGTAGAAGGAATAATTTATGTTCAACTGTAGAAAGTCTAGGAAATATGTTGCAATCTCAAGGAGCAGGCAAGGAATAGAGAAGTTATAAGCTAATAGAGGGAAGATGGAATAATAAAAATAGTCGACTAATACAAAAGGTGGCCAACAAGGAAAGAAAAAGGAACAAAAACAACTCTGTGTGGATGGTCACAAATGCCAAGGTGCTGCTGGATGCAGCCGTGCCTGCACTCCGGCTTGGGAGATCCCCCCCCCCCCCCGGCTGGGAGGAGCAGCATGGACCGGAGAGGAAGAGGCTCTGCTGCCTTTTCACACGTTTCATTTCATCCCTCAGATCACAAAGACTCACTGAGTTTTGATGATGTGAGTTTGGAAAAAATTTGGTTGATTAGAAGAATCTTCATAGGTTTGCTTTGCTTCTTCAAATTAATGTTTAGTTTCTGAAAGCTATAAATTAAAAAACTTAGTTTATCCTTAATATTTTAAATTTGGCTTACAGTTCTGGTTTTTCTATTTATAAGACCTGCAAATCTTCATAGTCACCTTTTAAGGGCTTTTGGAAACTACAAATTGAGTTCATTACACCCCTTCAGATATTTTAGAGGGCAATTATAAGTGGAATATATTCAGATTTCTTCTTAAGTATTTCAGTTGTCTAATGAAAAAATCCTTCTTAGTACTAATTAATTTTAAGAACTCTAACAATTAAACTTAGAAATTCAACGAGCCCAAAGTCTCTCAAATATTCCAATACTGTGTATAAATGCACTAAGATTTCCTTGTAATATTGTAAGACTAAGTCAATTAGTTAATTACACATTTTAGATTGGATTTATGAAACTTTCTTTATAATAGGCCAAATTCTTTAAACATTATAAGAGTAAGAAATATCAAATCTGTCCAGATTCCTTAACACAAAAATCATATTTCTATGGCTTTCATTATATTAATCGTTTCTAGACATTTTTAAAAATTATTTTTTATTTCAAGCTTTTTTTTTTTTTGGCAGCAGTGCTTTCAGATATGCACCTGTGATTGATATTTTATAGGTTGTGGTAGGCAGGATACTATCCCCTGCCCTCGCCACCAAAGTTTCCTGCCCTGATACGTATGAACAGGTCTGCGGCAAAGAGACCTAGACAGGGTTATCTCGGATTAGCCGGGGGGCCAGTCTGATCGCACGATCGTCAAAGTGCAGAACCGCTCCTGGCTGTGGTCAGAGGCAGAGCTGTGGCGCTGCTGCCGGTGCAGCTGGAGGAAGGGGCCCCAGCCAAGAGTGCCAGTGGCCCGGGGAAGCTGCCAAGCACACAGATTCTTCCCTAGAGCCGCCGGCAGGGCCCAACCCTGCAGATAACCCACTCCTAGCCCAGTAAGACCTCTGTGGGACTCCTAACCCACAGAGCTGCAAAACCACCACACTCGCGGTGATGAGTTGTAGCAACAGTAGAAAACTAAAGATAGACGTTTGCACAGCGACTCTGCCCTCTGTGACTTCCGTTTTATTCTCCCAAAGAATAGCAGAAGTTCTGGATTTGAACGTGGTCACACCCATCAACCTTCCCTTTCTGCTTGGTGCCTCTGACCCCCCGAGAAACCTCCCCTGCTGCAAGAGGAGTCTCCCTCGCCTCCCGGAAGGCCGGTGCTGCTCCCGCGAGGAGGCGGAGGGCTTTGTGCGGGAGGAAGACTCCTTCGTTCTTCTACTCGGGCAGCCAGCTGCCTGCCCCATGCGCTCCTGCCTCCCCGGGACCGGTGTCGGGTGTTTCGTCTCTTTGCAGCGGGCAGCCCGCCCGGAGCACCGACTCCGCCACGGCGGGAAGAGAAAAGGCCACGTCATAACTTCCCCCGTTTAGGAGCGTGTTCTAGGCCAAAGCAACCTGTTTGAAGATGCGTGAAGTGCTGTGAGTCACGAGGGGCCACGGGAGACTCGGGAGTGGGGGGGGGGTCACCTCACATCCATTAAGGGAGGTTGACAGTCCATGTGAAAGCCACCCAGTCTCTTGGTCATCAGTCGTCCCGTCTGCTAACTGTGCGTCCTCACTCTGCTGTTTAACAGAGGTGGGAAAATGCTCAAAACCAGTGGGATTCAACAAACACAGATTTAATCTGGAAAAGCCCGTCGGCAAGCAAACATTTTTTAGGAGCGTAGTTCTCCCTCCAGTGAGGCTGTGGGGCGTGTCTGTCGGGTTGACGGGGCACTGCACGAGCACATTCCCGCTGGGGACACAGGAGGACGTCGGATGCCACCGCGCCCGCAGGTGCGGCTCCGCCAGCAGGTGTGTGTGGAGGAGGCCCGGCGGGCTAGGTGAGCCGCACCTTCATCTCCGACACCCTGTAGCTGTAGTTGTACCCTCTGCCCGTCCTCCAGTTGATGCCATTGGCAAAGCTCTCGTGGGGCCCCCCGAGGTAGCGACCATTCAGGTTAGACTCGTGACAGTCCGAGTACCACCAGCCCCCCTGGTACAGCACAGGGCAACTGGAAGAGCTCAGGTCGTTGTCCTGGTCTTTGGTGGAGAAGAACTTGTTGTTGTGGGACATCAGAGAATCACCTGCTCAGAGAGGACATGGGGTTTGTGGCTGTTAGGAGAAGCCCAGCCGTCGTGAGGCCCTGCCCTGGCCCTGCTCCTGCCTCTAGCTGGTGCCAGCCTCGCTGCAAAGCCGCATCGCCTGTGGTCCAGGCGCATTGACGACCCGCCCGGGCTTTGGGCTACAGGAGAGCAGAACGTCACCTCTCCCCGCCTGGTCTGGGAATTCTTCCCCCCAACCCTTTTCTCCTTCCTCCAGGGTTCCCCAGAACTGTTGGGACCACTCTCTCCCCTGAAGTGCCCCCCACCCTCCAGCCTGCACGTTGCCTCTGCCCTGGTGGTCCCTGGGCGGGTACAGCCAGCCTCATCCGGGGCCCATCGTGCCCCCTGCTGCAGCCTGAGCATGCGGCTCACCTCTGCCTCCCCAGGTGAGCAGCGTCACCCGAGCCTTGCTGTACCACCCACACAACGGGGGTGCTGCCGCCCGCTCTGCTGCCCGCCCCAGAGGTCTCACAGGGGATCGTGCGTGGAAAAGGGGTGTACGAACTGCAAGGCTCTCGTCACTGAAGTTAGCCCAGGGAGCCCCTTGCTCTGTGCAGTTCTGGGCACAACACAGTTAAACAGGCCTCGTGTGCAGCAGTTCTCAGAGCCTTTAACGAGAGGTTGTGCTTTGGGAATTCCCCAAGTGGATGCTCTGTCGGAAACGCCTCCCAAAATCCTGTGGCCTCAGTCCCTTTTAGTAAAGAATATCCCACGGGGCTGGTGTTCCATCGGACACAGTTTGGGAAACGGGGCTCTCAGGGTCTATGAGAAATGACCACCCTCTTCCAGGTTTGTCGATGGTCAGTGTCGCAGGCCACACTCAGCTCACCGTGTGGCAGACACAGCCGAAGGTGTATTAACCACTGTGTCCCGTGATCCCTCGCTACACAGAGATGCAGGCGTTAGGTCTGCGTGAAGGATGGGGAGACCGGGCTCGGAGAGGTGAGGTCTCCAGCCTACGGTCGCCAGGAGACACAGAGCCAGGTTGTCTCTGCTTCCCAGACCCCGCTGTGAAGCCCAGACCACACGGGCCAGCACAGACACGCACCTGCATTGCCCTCGACAAAGGCGCCCAGGACCAGCTTGTACTTCTCCGCCTCGCCCTCCACCTTAAACGAGCTGTACTTGGCAAAGTGGCGCTTGCCCTCGAAGTCCACAAGGTCCACACGGAGCTCGCTGGTTCCTGGGGAGAAAGATTTTAAGGTCCCAGCCTGGTGATCTTCTGTCACCAGGCATGAGAGGTGAAGTCGGGTGAATTCTTAAGGGACGTCTGAACTGGGCCTCCAGGAAAAATGAACTGGGAACGTAGGAAAATCCCTTGCTGATGTGAGAACCTCGGGGATGGCCCCTATGTCTCCATCTTCCCCGCGATTTCATAAGCCAGGCCAGAAAATCGGCGTTGGTGCTCATCTGCGGTCGTCGCCAAGTGTCAGCTCTCCTGCAAATGGTGCAGGCCACTAACACAGCAGTGTGAGAAGCTCTAAGGCAGTTTCTTTTGCAGCATTGAGACACTCCAGTGGAGGTCTCCTGTCATGCCACGGGGCAGGGCAAGCACAGGTGCAGGCCGGCAGTGCCGCAGGTGGCCTCGGGACCGGGGGGAGCTCATGTCACGCACCAGAGGGTGGGGCAAGGACCTCTCACTCAGGGAGACTGTGGCTGTCGGAGGGCCTGTCACAGCCAGGGCTGGAAAAGGCAAGGGAGGGGTTCCCTGGGGCTAATGTGCCAGCTGCAAAGACAGACCACCCCTGGGAGATGGGGGAACATCTGTCTCTCGATCCCACTCTCAGCTTCTTGGATGCAGGTGGCACCCAGCCTGGCAGAGGCCTTCACCCCAAAGCTCGAACGCCCTCTGACCCCAGCGCTCAGGGACCGCAGCAGGGATTGCCTGTCCTAGGACATCACAGTTGGACCCTGTGTGCTCAGAGTCTGAGCCCTGCAGGCCCAGAAGACAGGGCCTACGTTCCAGGAAGCCCCTCTAAGGGGCGGGGCAGCTCCACCCAGGCCCAGGCCCGCCGACCCCGGCCCTGCCTACCCTGGGCGGTCAGGCTGTGGATGTTGTCGTTCCCCAGCCAGAACTCCCCCAGCTGACTGCCGAAGCCCTGCTTGTACGAGGCCCAGTCCCGATAGAAGTCCACGGAGCC